GCAGTTTGGGAAGGAGGAGGATGAGAAACTAGGACTAGGATCACAGTCTCACTTATCCTGTAGTTCAAAGGAATGTGCCTGAGAGTAGTGGGTTCTTGCTGGTGGTTTTTTTGTTAACCTCTGTGTGTGTGTGGGGGTTATGCAATGTTTCATTTCCAGAGGAACTTTGTCAATGTTGTTTTTGCAGTAATAGGAAAAAATTAGCAAGAGAAATTGAGTCCACATCCTAATATAGCATAAGATTTTGTGCATGGAGGAGAAATGAATTGTTTTGCTAATGAAATGATTTTAAGGTGCCTGGGGATTATTATGTCGCACAGTGAGATGATAAACAATTAAAAAGGAAATTAATTCTGAGCCCTTACGTGGGCTACGCTCCCATTGCCTGAGGGGCAATGCTTTGGAGATTAAGCCTTTGACAGGGCTGAGCTGCACGTATTTTCTCCTGGGCTCATGTTTGGGTTTTTTTAATTGTTGTTGTTTCCTTTTAGTGATCAGTGTTAATCAGGTAACAATTTATTTTCCACTCTCATCTTTTAATAAAAATTTGCCTCTTGGGAGCAGTAAGATTTTGAAGGATAACTGCCAGTCAAGGCTACCCATTGTTATTTCTTGTGCCTTGAATATGTTAACATCCTATTATTCAGTTCATTGCTCTGTGTGTATCTTGATGATTGTGCTATTCTTATTATTTGCAATGGTTTTTTCATGGTTGTGTGGAAGTACCCTTTAGGAGGCAATTTGAACACCTTAGCACTTGTTAATCTGAAGCAATCTGATTTCATCAATAAGTATAAAGATAAAATAAGTTATTTAATGCTGCTTGGAGTCTGCTATTCATGGATCCTGATAGTCCTGTTGCAACCATCACTGCACTGAGGGAAAAAAAAGGCCCTGAAATTGCGACCATCTGGTCATCTCTGTGTTTTCTTTGAGAGGAGATGTGAAGGTAAGCATGCTAGTGCTCAGTGAAATAGCCAATACTATACAGCCAATACTATATAGTCTTTCCCTAACTTCAGATGAAGGTGGCTGTGTATTGCAGGGGCACTTGTGTCCACTAATGGTTTTGCTGTCTGAATCTGCAACAGAAATGAAATGTTTGTCCCTTTTTATCAGAAAAACCCTTGCATATCATTACAGGAAATCTTTCAATTATTGTGATCTGTTTTGTTAGCCAGCAGCAGCACTATTAAACATATGATTCATTATATCAGCAAAGCCAGACTTGCCCAGAAGAAGAGTAGTGAAAAATGAAAATGTTAAAGGCAATTGTTCTGAAGTCAGCTGGAGATTCAAAGTGTTCTTATTGTTGGAGAAATGTAAAAACACATCCAGTCCGTTTACAGTGGTGTTGATGTTATGATACAGGAAAGGCTGTTTAAGGTAAGTCAGGCAGTTTTTATTAGGCACCCAGCAGGAAAAGGCTAGTTTAAGAAAGCCTTAGGTGTTCCTAAGCTGTGACAGGTTTTCCAAAGGGATGTACATTTAAGATGCTGCCAGAAAGAGATAAGAATGCTGGAAAAGGACTTGTTGTGTTGAAAGCATTCCCAGGCCTCTTCTTATTAGCACTTTAGAATGATCATCAAAAGCAAATTGTCAGTCTAATTATTCTAATGGAGTTGACAGTGCAGTGGCACAATAATATTTATCCTCACCTTGGCCTAAATAGCCATGCAATATATGAGGAAGAAGAATAATCTGTGAGCTGTCTTGCACTGAGTATATCCCATGGAAGAAAAGCTGGTGAGTGAGACAGGATTTAGAGGGAAGACCACTCTCTCTCAGCCTGGAGTCCTGAAGGGAGTGAGACTGTTAAAACAATGATACCATGATTTCCACCCACCCCACCCCCCCCCACCAACACCCCCCCCCCCCCCCCCCCCAAATAGACATGATAAACATTCTCCCTCTGTCATACCTCAGACGTGAACTATTCCATCTCAGGCAGACTCAGGCTATTTAGAACCATTTTTCAGTGATATATAAAGAAGATATATTTGCAATTTAAAAACCGAGAGGCTGCCAAAATAGCAGGTATAGCACCAACGCAAGCCCCTCACAGAAGGACATGACCAAAGTTCTGCCAAACTGACCAAACATCAGTTTTCCACATTGTTCTGTAGCAGCTATGTGATGAGCCAAGGACCAGGCTTGAATCCGTGATGGTAAACCTATCATACATACTACCAGGACAGGTTCCTTGCTTTTATATCCTTGCCCTTCTACTCTGCTCTCGTGAGACCTCACTTGGAGTACTGTGTACAGTTCTGGCATTCCCAACATAAAAAGGACATGGAGCTGCTGGAGCAAGTCCAGAGGAGACCACGAGGATGATAAAAGGGCTGGAGCACCTCCCGTATGAAGACAAGCTGAGAAAGTTGGGGCTGTTCAGCCTGGAGAAGAGAAGGCTGCGTGGAGACCTCATAGCAGCCTTCCAGTATCTGAAGGGGGCCTACAAGGATGCTGGGGAGGGACTCTTCATCAGGGACTGTAGTGATAGGACAAGGGGTAACGGGTCAGGTTAGATACAAGGAAGAAGTTCTTTACAGTAAGGGTGGTGAGGCACTGGAATGGGTTGCCCAAGGAAGTTGTGAACACCTGGCAGTGTTCATGGCCAGGCTGGACAGACCATTGGGTGACGTGATCTAGGGTAAGATGTCTCTGCCCATGGCAGAGGGGTTGCAACTGGACGATCATAAGGTCCTTTCCAACCCAAATCGTTCTGTGATTCAATAATTCTATGAATAATTTACACCACTGACTGGGACAATGCTTAGCAGTTTCTAGCTTTGTCTGAAATTCACTTGAACTCTTTGGCTTCTTGTGAAGTCACTCAGCTGCCTCTTTGTGGCAGTTATTTCTGAGGAGGTGGGATCCCAGAAGGGGCTAACTGCTCTCAACTCCAGCTGATTTCAGGGGGAGACAAGAGTGCTCGTCTTAATCCTTTCTAAATCCCCCCATGGTAAGTAGTTGATTTTTCCTGAATAGCAGAACTCAACTTGGTAAATCTCTGAGGGTTTTGGTGATTTTGTTGTCTTCTTGCTGCTACCTCCTCTGCTTCTTCAGGTGCTTTAAATTACTATGCTATTAAGTTATTTTAAAACTAACTTTAAGAAGCGATGCAATTTGTGAAAGAGAGTCGTTAGTGTATCAGTCAGTATACTGCAGTAGAAACCAGCAGTGGGAAGAATAAAATGTGATATTTATGCAAATTCTGATTTAAGTTTATAAGTATGCAAACTATTTCAAATGTGAAACAACAAAAGGTGGATTTTGAAACAAGATTTCTTCTGTGGAATTCATATCAGTATAATTTTGTTTTCTGGAAAGTGCTATGATTAATTTCTGTCTTGTCCTTACATGCATGACTGTAAAAGGTAAAACCTGGTATTTTTTTAACCCACCCTAATCTCTGTTGCGGCACTTTCCAGAGCCAGGATGATTTTTGAGCTTTTTTGTCTTTCATTCTGTGCAGAATGTTGCAGAGAGGAGATACAAATGTTTTTTCCCCCTGTTCCTTTCTTCCATTAAAAAAATGACAGAATTATTCAGACTGGAAACATTTGCTGTTGTGTGCATAAAAACACGCTGGCAGTTTTTGTACTTTGCATCGTGGAGAAAATCATAACATACCCCTAAACTTTGCCATCTTTAAAATGGTCTTCTCCAAGAAGTGTACCTTGTATTATTTTGGTTTTTTAATGTTACCTTTTTAGTTCCTTGCTCCTTGTTTTCCCCCTTTCTCTCTTGCTCTGGTTTGGTTTTTTGTGAGCTCCTTCAATACAAAGCCTGCATCTCACCAAGCAGAAGCCCTTTTGTATTTTCTCAGGGCGATCCCTGTCTCTCTTGGCAGAGCAAAAGCCTGTGCCGCAGGGGGCTGTGTTGTTGAGGACAACCTGCCAAGCTGCCCTGCTGCCTTCAGGTACCCCAGCCCAGGGGCACCACTCCTCTGGCTGCTGGCATTCACTGCAGCAAGCCTGAGTTTGTGCCAGTGAAGGCGTGCTGGAATTCCTGGGCAACTGGTGTGGGAATTTAGGAGCACGCCAGCATGTCAACACAGGGGCACTTGGAAAGGTGCTCTTTGGCCATTGGAGACCTTGTTAGTCGCTGCTTGATCTGGGTGTGAACTCTGTAATAAGGAACAAAATGCTGTACCTCCTAAGCCACCCTTTGCCTAGCATGAGAGTTACTCTTTCTCTTTGCTTGCACTCAGAAATTAACACTCATGTTGTTCCCACAAGACATCCAAGATGAGTTGTGGGAAATATTTTCTTCTTTATAAATACATTTCTTCACTATATATTTTGATGATATCTAACCTCTGTTCTTGGCTTCTGAATGCCTTTGCACGTATATGAAGTGCTCTGTTTGCTGAACAAAGGGGAGTTCTGTATGCACAGTGGATGCCCAGAGTATTTCAGCTACACTAATATCAGTCTCTGCTTTGAAAGAGCCACTGTTTAAATAGGCATGCCTATATACACTAGTAAGCCTCCCAAGATTAATTCAGACAGAAGGAAATTTATTTACTTATTTATTTATTTATTTATTTCAATATTGACAAGTTGGTTAGAAAAATATGTCAAATTCAATTCTCTACTTCATCTCTAACTTTTTTCCACCTGCAAGTCAAATTATGGGAACAATGGAAGGAAGGAAGGAAGGAAGATATTTTTATAGAGTTAATGAAACAGACCCGGTCTGGAAATAATGAAGAACTGTTTCTTCGTATTTAAGCTAATTATATTGTGATACAATCTTCCTAAGGTAGCAATACAGTTGAATCACTGCTGATGGTATTCACTGCTTACAGATTTTCAAGAGGGAGCAGTCCTGCATTATTACTGATTTAGAACCAATGACTAACTGAATCCATTTTATTTCTAAATTTGGTGAACATCATTATGATAACTCTAATGGACATAAAAGCTATGCCTGTATTTGCTGATTATTCTTAAAACATGTCTCTTGTACCTGGCTGCTGATCAGCAGCTTTCACAGCAGTAATAAGAATGCGTAAAGAGCTGCTGTAGCTTTTTTTGGGTAAGGTTATTCTTTCATAAAGGCCTCTGCTCTTTATCAAACAGCTGTACCTACCCTTTTCTTGTGTTCTTCATCGTTTGCTTTGTCCCATTTTAGCTGAAGATATTTATTGTCACGTGGCAAAATTGGCTGGTAGGCTCGATGCATCTTGCACAAAATAAAGCACCTCTGAATCTGGGCTTTTTGGGGGGAAAAAGAAAAAACAGAAAAAAAAGTATGAGTAATACCAGTCTGAGCCTTTCCTAAAGCAAAGACCTAGAGACTTGTGGTGTATTTGTAGCTGGTCACGTGGGGGTTGTCATGGCATCGCTGCTCAGAAAAAGAATGAATAGCTGGTGGTAGCATTTCAAACAATACATTTAACGAGTAGCAAACAGGAACTGAATGTTATAGCAAAGCATTCCAAAAAGTATTTTGTTCATATATAAAATAGATCACCAATTATACCTCACTAGCCAGACCTACCTCCTATGGGTGAAGGGAAGAAAATGGCATAAGCTATTAGTAAGATAAGATACAAGGAAGAAATTCTTTACTATGTGAGTGTGGCTGCCCCATCCGTGGCAGTGTTCAAGGCCAGGCTGGATGGGGCTTTGAGCAACCTGATCTAGTGGAAGGTGTCCCTGATGATGGCAGAGGGTTAGAACTAGAGGATCTTTAAGGTCCATTCCAACCCAAACCATTCTGTCATTCTATGAATAATGCTTTACACACTACCATAAATGCAAAGGACTGTATAATAGGCTTTATTTGCCAAACCTTGTATTGAAAAATATGCCTCAATAATTCTCTGAGCAAACCACAGTGGGAGGTGTCATCTTTTGCACTGCAATAACTTGTTTTGAACATTTGTTTTTCATCAATAAGCATGCACTTTTCCAAAGCCACAGCAAATGTGTTCATAGTGAAACAGTTCTGGTTTTTAACAGCCTTTTCACCTGTCTTTATCTGCATGCCATGTGATTGCTAATCAATTACAGAAAGCTCAGACAGACTTCCAAAAGCCAACTATTTACCAGGCTGACCACTGTTCTCACTCAGGGCCATCTCGGCTTGCTTTCTTTGTAGGCAATATTTGGCAGGGAGATGCATGGGCAAACATGTTTTCTCAGGCCCACCCAAAAATGGAAAAGGTGCTTCTGCTCATTCAAGCATGGGTTGGCCTCCTCCAAAGCTGGGCTTGAGGTGGCACAGTTCATTTGATGTTTCTGTCCCTGTGGTGTAGAGCACTCTGAAGCTGGGTCTGGCACTCTGCTAAAGAACACTGCTTTAGGCTCATGCATTTTCATGGTAAGGTCTGTAGTTCCTAAGCCGAAGACTTGAATTACAACTTGCAGCTGTCATGGGTCTTTTAAAATAGGTAGGGTAATACATGCTGTATAGAAACTCTGGGAAGTAAGGAGGGAACCTTTGGCTGACAGTACCAAAATTCACTAGCCAGAAAGGGTCTGTACAAGGATGTACCAGGGGATATTCCATTTTAGCACAGGGCTGTTCATGCAGGTTGTTCTTACATAGCATCTCCTGTGGGTGCAGGAGAACAGCAACACATTTGTCACAACTACCCAACACGGGATCAGAGCCAGTGCTCTGATTGAATCTCTATCTTGACTAACTTTTGCATATCAGTAGTAATGTTCAGTTGGATACAGGGGTTGTGATTTTTATTATAGTTGCTGTGAAATGGCACTTAAACAACAGAAGCAGATAAATTTAAAACCTTGATATATTCTAACTTTGAGCTGTAAGGCAAGTACTCTGATTTTCAGACAAATGATGGAAGCAATTGAAAAGTGTGCCTTTTCAGCTGCTTGGGTTCTTACTATTTTCCTGTTAATGTAACAGGAAGATGCAGGAAATGTCAATAAACATAAAAAAAAGAGTTGAAATGCATTTCTTCAAATATATGTAAAATCTAAGTGGGCACATAATGCAATTATATTTTGCTCCTGAACTAATAGAAATGCTTGTCCCTCATTTGTTGGCAGTGTCTTGGTCTCAGGCTTTTAAATGCTACACGTGTAATGATCTGTTATGGGTAGATCCAAAGGGCACTGTTTTCATTATGACTTCACTGATTTTGACGAAGCCCTGAAAATATAAGGAAAACGTAGCCTCTTACATTGACGGAAACACGGCCCAACTGCTTCTCATTTAAAGTTTGTGACCGAAAGGAAGTGGCTTTAAACTGCCTCTGTGGTTGCCTATTCTCTCTTTACCCTTAGAAACTGTGGGCCATATATGCATTCATTCTCAGCTGGGTTTTGGGTGGCTTTTTGTTGTTTCTGTGTTTTTTGTTTTGTGGTAAGGAAAGCAGAACTCAACAGTTTCAAAATTGGCTGACTTTGTGTTGAGCTACCTAAGGTCCAGCAGGTCCTTTCTGATAGAAGATGGTGCTGGAAGACAGCAACAGGGGATTCTTCAGAGTGGCGTTTCACCACTTAGTCAAAGCAGTCTTGCAAAGTATCCTTAACAAGTTAGAGGACTGGGCCTACTACCTCTACAAGATAAAGCAGATATTTATGAAACTTTTATTCTGTGTACAATTTTATGAAGTGACAGCCATGGGAATTTCCATGTTATGTGCAGAAATACTTGCATATAATTTCTTAATAGCAAAAGTTATTACCTGCTGAAAAAGAAATGAGAAATAGTAGATAATGAACATCAGATGATTTTGGAAAAAAATGCATTTTCCACTGTACATCCACTTTCCAATATATACATGTCTACATTTGGTTCCTACACAAAGCAAAGAGAATTGTGTTTTCTGCAGCATAAAAGCAAGGTGGTTAATGATAAATACCAGGCTGCTTTTCTAATATGGCAATCTTGGAGTGTGCCGAGCTTCTTTTCTGAGATCTTACCACACTAGGGCTTGTGTAGGTTTCTGGGTTTGTTTTTTAGTCTCTTTTTTGTCTTGGTCTGATTTTTAAGAAAACCTGTTCATATAATATATAGGGCTGGAAGCTCTGTAGGTGGTATTGCTGCCAGGAATTTGAATCTTGAGTTACTTCCCCGTTGAACTATGTTGCAAGGTTGGTGAGTTGCTGCCCTTTCCTCTCCCACTGTCTGCCAGAAGAGCTTGGGATGGCTCACGAGCTGCCAGCTACAACAGCTGCTTGTGCTTACAGCCCAGTTATGGAATAAGTCAAAGAAGGTGCTTCTTCTCCCACTGCACACCTAATATAGATCATGTTTTTGGAGGTACTGTTGCTCACCATGGCCAGAAGTACCTTTTCCATGGTTTGCTTTTGCTGAGAACTTTATATATATATA